GTTTATTATTCATAAATATAAAATATTCAAAATATTCTGTAATCATAAGGTAATGATTGGTCAAAGCAAGTCTATTCCATGGAACTAAACTACTTCCTCACATGGATCTTACCATTTTGGAAATACTTTCATTCTGAAATGATTTTGATCCTACTGCAAGACTTCATTAAGATACCACACACTTTGATGAGAATTTACTATTAGGTTGAATCACTTTACCGCTATTTTGTCATTTTTGACTGATAAGAGTGACATTTTCATTTGGTTCAACCTAATAGTTGTTCTCACCAAGAAAGTAAAATCTAAACTTGCTAACCTTGATTTTGATTTTTAAATTAAACAAGACATGAATCTAAGAGTTTCTCTATAAGCTGATGGGTAACATATGATTAACCGCTTTGCTTGGCTAGCACGATGATTTGAACTGATAAGTCAAGTGAACGGCATGTCCCAGGCCCACCAGGAAAACCACACAAGCAGCCAAAGAGCTTCATCTGTTGCCACAGCAGTGCCCTGTGAGTGAGCAAGTAGACAAGGGAAAAGAAACATGAGCGTGTCCTGTAAGCATTTGACAGAAGAGGTTGTAACTTGGCAACAAATTATGAACTTGCTAAAGGTCAAAACTTGGACTTGGCACTCATGCCTTACAGAACTCGCTTATCTAGATGTTTCAAAAGTATCTTCCAATGTGCACTGCTTATCAAATGGCAAGGCAAAAAACAAGGAACATTTGTTGCTCTATTTGCTCCAGTTTAGCAGTGCTGTTCTGGGACTGGGTAGCCAGGATATGGAAGGCAGCTCGCAGGGTCATGGTAAAGTGACTGAGTGAGCCTAACATAAACCTAGGGAAGCCTGGTCCTTCACATATGTCCTGGGCCATAGCAGAAGTATGGCATCAGTGTTGATATTTGGAACATCAGCTGATGGATTAAAATCATACTGGGCCCATTGTGAGCAAAAAGGAGCCCAAACATGGTAGAGATGATGGGTTTGGGAAAGCTATGGCCTGATGAGAGAATGAGCTCAGCATTGTCTGAGACAGGAGAGAGGTGAGTGCTCAGTGAGTCATCCATCATGAATGTGAAGAATAACACCCTGGGGGGCAGGTGACATCACAGGGAATTTTGCTCAATTATTTTAATATTCCAGATTTAAGCATGCTACCCTAAAAAGCCAGGACAAATACCATTCTGTGAGATAAGATAACATTGTATGTAGTCTGTTCTAAGTACTCAGTCAATTCTCTTCTTACAAAGTCAAGAGTCAGTGAAAGATGCTCTATGTTGATACGTCTGTTTTAT